CCTGGTGATCTCCAAAGACCAAAAGCATCGCATGACTGAGCTTCGGATCCTGTCCGTAAGCCACATGGTAATATCAGTCCCGCTTTGTAGTCCATACCTGTGAGATTGTTAGAAACAGAGACATCTACAAAGAAATAATCAAGAGCCACAAATTCGAGCACGGCATTTCATATTCACACATCAAAGGTACAAACTATTACACAAATATTGCCTTGGGGAATGCTTAGACCTCCTGAGAAAGCAAGTCTCATAGTATTCAATGCTTTTGAATCGACCTTAAATTAAAGACCACAAGGCACAAGTGACAGCATGGTATTAGGACACTTTTGAATCGTATCTCAAGCTAAATAATTGTTTTGAAACAAGAAAGGACTTATCAGCCAAACACTACACATTTGCCACAGCCACATGATTATATCAGTTCGATTGCACCATTGCAAACTGAAAATTTAGACATATTGTGTAACATCCATGAAAACCACACAATCATACCTCATTTCCAGATGTCGCGGACGATAGTATGCCATTTCCTGATATTTGGCGTTCAGCACCAAGACCACACAAGCACTGTAAAGAGGTATGTTGATTTGCATGGGCAAGAATGTATGAAGATGACGAGGATTATAGGCTCACCACTGTCCAGAATAAATTCAGAAGAACCTTGCCAAACACCCTTCACACCAAACCTCTTATTTTGGTTGAATAATGAAGTCATTGATGGACATCATTAACGAAACAATTTTCAAATGGGAAGTGCTTTCTTCATTACAATTGGTGTAGACGGGAAAAAGAAAATACTACATCCTTCTACAATACCTCCACACCAGAAAATTGGACATAGTCTGCTATCCATAGCGAACCACACATTTGAACATCAGTTCACAATCTCGAATTCGATTAATGGTAAGTGTGCAACCTTTTGTGCGGTTAGCGCAAATCACGGGTTCAACCTTTCCGTTATAGAAGCTTAGCATTCAACTGGAGATAGAGAGCAGGCCTATTATCACCAAAGTTTTAGACTTTGACCCTACGTCCCTCGGAGAACTCAATTATTCACAAAAAAAAAGGAAGATTGGCCACCATTCCAAACTGACACCATTTGCACGCAGTCTGCTGTATCCATAAAGACCACCAAAAGCGAATAGCAAATAGTGAAGAGTATTTATGTGTGCAGCAGTAAAAGAAATCAATTTAGTAACATCTATGAGTGGAATATTATCCAATGCAAAAGTTGGATTATCAATAAATTGGAGTAGACATAGAAGAAAAAAGGACAGAGTCAAGCATACCGGATATCTCACATGTTAATCGAACATTCTTCCATGGCTCCCAAGTGGATTACCATTGCAAATGATTTCTTGAGTTGCAGTCTGCAGCATCCATGAAAACCCAGTAGCATTGGCTAACAACCAGATTATTAACACTGTAAACAGTCATGGGTATCAGCTGTTTTTTGATGATAATTAAGTGTCATCAAACTATCTAGAAAACAAGTCACATGATTCTCAAACAGACACATTAATAACAAACCTATAGGTTTGTAATTGTAGTTAGGATAGCCATTTATAGATACATATCCAAGAACTGGACCAACATCTCAGTTGCGAAAATGGATCAGTCAAAATATATGGTAGCAGATGTATCAACTTAGACTTGTATTTCTCAAATCAATCCAAAGAATCACTGGTTCGATCATTTTTTTCCATTGCTGAGAAGCACGAAAATAAGTTGTTTACCTTGTTGCCGTTTTCTAATTTCCATTGCATTAGATAAGCATAAAATACCTGACTAGAAACTTCTCTAGTATAATCAATCTGCCAACACTAAGCACTAATCCATCTTGAGACATTTTATCTTAGCAGCCACGTAATTCCTGATAAGTGATAGTTAACTTTAATCAAACATGACAAAGAGATGGCCAAAAAAACACTGACAGATTTAGGAAGGAGATTCTCTATTAAAATAGCTCAAGATATATAAAGACTACATTCAAAGGCAACTCCAGAAAACTATTGCTACTGATTAAAAACCAAGAATAGACTGGTAGCACACTTGACACCTTCCTCCTCAGTCCCGGGCTTGGGACCGGCTGATGCAGGCGGAGTTACAACGGTCAACCCTAAGCACAAATTGCCCCAACAAGTAAATCAAAACACAAAGGAAACCAAGAAGAAGAACCATTGCTGAGAAGGTCAAGACAAAGATCATATTAAACAAACAAACAGACTCGAAGATAATTAACCTTGATCAAAAAAGACAGCCGAAGGAGAACCACCTGGAGATAAATGGATTATACAAATAGGAAATGAATACTGTGAGGAACAGAAGACTGGGCAGCGGACCTCCTGAGGTTGAAAAGGAACTGTTGCGAGTGCATTTGGGTCAATGACTGTACTTAGGGATACAAAGTGAGAGGCAGAGAACTACATAGGAGAGGATCTAGGTTAAATTCATGCTCAATCGCAAAACAAATAAGAAATTGAAAACGATAAAATTTAGACTAGGCAATGACCTTCTAGATCACTTCATAACTGAAAGAACATAGAACACACAAATTCACACAAGTTCAAAATCGAGATTCAAAGTCATCAGCGCTAGAATACTGCTGCAAATGTTACATTATCCTGAAAAATTCTCAGAACGTAAATCGGAGATCAAAACCGACAGCACAGTGCTTGGACATGAATTCCAAAAAAAATTTCAAATTTAGAATTTCACTAAAATTTGAATTGAAAATGAAGTTGTGTTTGGTTATAATTTTGCAACATATTGGATGTCTCTTTTTCAACATATTTTGACAACTAAAACTAGCAACTTCCATTTTAATTGAAAACTAATTCTCACCCGTTTTCAAATTTGAAAATTCATTTTCGAGATTGAAAATCTTGTAAATTTTTTATAACCAAACTACTGTTTGAAAAAAACAGAGGATCGAATTTTCTTATGTCCAAAACAGGCTCTTAATATACGTGACCCCCCCCCCCCTCCCCTCCCCCCGAGGAAATAAGTCTCGTGGTATTCAATGCATGCTTTTGGATCGACCTTCAAAGCCCAAAAAGCGGCAAGTGACAGTGAGTCAAATGATATTAGGGGGCTTTTGAATCCACTCTTCTATCTCACAGCTAAAGTATTGTCTGAAACAGGAACTTACATGAAAGGACTTACCATCCACAGCATTCTACATCAGTTTGATTACACAATTGCAGACTGACACTTAGACATTATCTGCAACGTCATCGGAAACCCCCCACACATGACACCTCATTATCAGGATTGCCATGGAGTTGATTCCCATTGCAGATTGATATTTGGATGTGCTCTGCAGCATTCACGAAAATCACACAAACTGACGAAAGCCACCAAGCAATAGCAAAGAATATTATGTTTCAGGCAGGCAAGAACTTCTTAAAGATGATGAGAATATACAAGGATCACCAACTTTCCAGATAATAAATTCTTTAAGACGCTTGAATACACAATTTGGGGCCTGGCTAAACGCGAACCTCTTATTTAGTTGAATATTGAGTTGGAAGTCACTCAGAGACATCAAGGAGAAGTTTTCCACTGCAAGGGTGTATCATCATTGCATGGGAGTAGACGTGAAAAGAAAAAAAAGACTACAATCCCTCCATACTGGAAATTTGGATGTAGTCTGCAAGCGTCCATAGAGACACCACACATATCAATATCGTTTTCGCAATGTTGCCATGATGACAAGTTTGACCACCATTGCAAACTGATATTTGCACTGGTCTTGCAGCATCCATGAAAAGCTCACAAGCAAATAGTGAAGAGTTCATGTTGTGCAGCATTGAATGGAAGCATTTCTAGACATCAATAATGAACCAAATATCACTAAAATGGAGCGGACATGAAAGGAAAACAAGCTCGGAAGGTAGCCTGCACCGCATTGAAACCTCACATGTCAAATCAGAAACTTCAATGGTCCACTATTAAGATGCCGTCTACATCATCCATGAAAATCCAGTAGCAATAGCAAACAGTGAAAGAGTATTATACTGCAACCAGGGAAGGAGGGATGGAATATCGGCTGTTTTTTGAGGATATATACCGGGTAAGTAGAAAACATACTGAAACTACATATCCATATACTGCCGGGCAACGCACTAAACTCTAGTTGAATATTGCGTTATGAGCCATCAATAGCGAAACAATATCTCCTGTGTGAACGAGGATCTTCAATAAATCGCAGCAGATGTGAGACAGACTGCAATCCCTTATATCATCAAAAACATTGGTGAAATTCTTCTAACTGAATATCAAAATTTCTAATTACCAATTGCATGATAAGCGAGCACAACTAACTGAAACTTCTCAGTCGACTTGCCAATACAAGCTGCTAACACATCTTGAGGCATTTTATCTAGCAGCCACGCTTTCCTGATAAGTAACATTAACTGTAATCAGACACGACCACAAAGACAAAAAACAATGACATATTTAAAGAAGCACATGTTCCCATCCTAATTGCTCAAGACAAATAACAAGAAACACTCGAAGGCAGCTCCAGAAATCATTTCCATGAACAAAAAAGAAGGGACAACTATAATTGCACACTTGACATCTTCCCTCCTCCTTTTTCCGGGCTTGGGACCGGCTGATTTGACAGGCGGAGTTACAAGGGTCGCCTAATTACCTAAACAAAACTAGCAACAGGTAGACCAAAACCACAGGAGAAACACAAGGAGAAACCACAGTTGGTATCATGACAAGACAAGCCAAGATCATATGTTGAACAAATAAAACAGACTTGAACAAAATGCATCACTCAAGACGAACCTCCTGGAAATAAGTTCGGATTTACACAAACGGAAATGAAGACTGGGAGGAACAGACCGGGTAGCAACCTCCTAATTAAAAACGGAACAAATTGACGGAATTGTTGAAGAATGGATACAGGTCTACAACTATACTTAGGGATACAAAGTGAGAGACACAGGTCTACCTAGGAGAGAATATAGGATAGATTGACGATTCAATCGCTAAACAAAAAAAAAAAAGACCTGAACCAATAAGACTGAGACTTGGCAATGACCTTCTAAGTAAAATTCATAACTGAAGGAACTGAAGGACAAAATCACACAAGTCAAAATGGAAATTCAACGTCTTTGTGCTAGAATACTGTTGCAAATTCCATTATCCTAGAAAATTCTCACAACTTAAATTAGAGATTGAAACAGACTCATGGTGCTGGAACATTGCAAACCTTTCCGTGATAATGAAGCAGTAACAAATACTTAGCTCCTTAGACTCCATGTAAGATTGAAAAGGGATTTATTTTTTCCAGTTGTAAATACTGCAGCACCTCCTTAGTGCTAGCTTTATAATACAATTACCTCATTCTCACAAAAAAGATTATGAAGCAGTGGATACACTCCTCATCCCACCCCCGAAAGAAAATCTCATCCTACAAAACAATGATGGAACCTCACCCGCCATAGAAAAAACTCATCCAGCCAAGTGACAAAAGCAAACTCTCCCTCGAGTCTCTCTCAAAGCTGAAACTCCAAAGGACTACTTCCACATCAAAAAACCTTGTTTAAAGTAACAAAATCAATAAGATTACTTCCACATCAAAAAACCTTGTTTAAAGCAACAAAATCAATTCACAACACCTCACTCTAGTGTAAGCAGGAATCAAAAAGCAAATTGCAGGTACAAATTCCATAGTGCCAGCTGACCTACCAAAGTTGGGCATAGCCCATTACAATGTCAACATTCTCAAAAGAACATAAAATCACATCTGTGTTCAACCACGTCATGAATATCAAATGATATAAGAACCTATAAGCTGGGTGTCCATGTTCCTTTTTTCCCTTTTGATGAAGGAAGGTATCTCTCCTAAGGCTGGGGGGAACCTTCCACACAGAAGATATAATAAGACTCCCTCAGATCTAAAAGCTCAATCGACAGCACATACGCTTAGACCGCATTGCATACACTCCCTGAGAAAAATCACATGGTATTATATCCCTCTCAAGTTCCATCCTCTAATCTCACAGTAAAAGACACTTATAAAAGCAGCTATGCGAGAGAAATGATTATCCAAACACCGGTTGCACTAACAAACCCAACCTAACATGGAATGCACTTCAAATTTCCTAAACAAGCCATAGACTTCACCCTGCCCATCTAGGATCCGAATCGTTCAGGCAAAAATAGCAGATATGATAGGACAGTTCCTCCAAAGAAAAGCCAGCAGATGTTGAAAAGCAGAGTCCCCGGACTATAATGAAACATTCACAGGAAAAAATTGTACTGTTTTCCAATGTGACTTCACGTGAAGTAGACAACTTCATGGAGCTGGATAGTTGGTGCACAATATGACTTTAGCTGACAAAATGCTAATCTGAAAATGCACAGCAGCTAAAATGTAAAAGAAGTTATATCTCCAGCCCGAAACAGAACTTTATTTGTTAGAAGATATATGTGATGCATGAACCAGGAAGATGGTCAGCAGAAGCTTCTTTAATGTATTGGACATAGGTACACTTCTCGCATACGGGTGGTTGCTTTGTTTGATTTTTCCTTTACTACCTTATTCCTCCAAAAGGGGAAGAAAAAAGACCGAGCAGTAAAGATATTGCTCACTGGAAACCCTGCAACAAAATCCACATCAGCCCATTATAGCATAATATTGCGAAAGCCAGTCAACATCCACCAGTCCTTAACAAGGATGTCTTCTACAGAAATCTGATGTATAGAAAAACATTTGTGAAAGCTAAAGCAAAAAACAAAATGTAAAAGCTTCAGTCAGAAAATAACGAGGCATCGTGCAATCTGAAAGAGAGAATGAAAGAACGGAAGATGAAAAAAGCTGATCAATATTCATCATGCGACGGAAGAGACCACGAGAATCCTAAATTTTGCAACATATGTACTAGTACATAACCACCCTTTGGGGTCAGGTTAAAGAAAGGATGACATCACATCAGCAAAAATTGAAATCTCGACATTATTGAATTTAAGCAATATTAGAGCAAGCAAAAGGCAAGATGAACTCACAAACCAACAACAATTTTGCTCCATTAAAACAAGAACAAAAAATCCACACTGCTGTATGACCCGGTGACTGCACAAAAGAAAGGCCCGGTTAAATACATGTTGGGCAAACCATACCACCGAAGAATCACCAGAAATGGCAGAGACACATGACGAGAAAAGCCTTTTCCTTAATAACCTTCGCATTCACATACAAAAATAAAATAAGAGAGTACATGACCTTTTCTACAGGATATGAGCCAGGTTTTTTTTACAGGTACTATTGATCTGTTTTAGATTAGTGAATCGAGCTCTTTTTGAGGCAAACGCAGTTCAAATGGTAATGTGTTATGGAGAAAAAAGTGTGGAGGGGCTCTTTTACAAATAGCGTTTACAATAGCTAACAGTTTGAAGCAAGTCTTCAAATGAATGAAGATACAAAATATAATATGCATGCTTCAAAAGAGAGAGAGAGAGAGAGAGAGAGAGAGAGAGAGAGAGAGAGAGAGAGAATCTACCTAATAGAATAGTTTGAAACAAATGAACTCATACAAAACTATAAGCACTAAAACCCCTCTGCTTCCTCGTAAAGACATTGATTGATCAGAGTCTACGAGATCTAAGATGTTCCTCTCTTCTAGTTAATATAGACTAATAGTTAACTTCAGACTAGGAGGACAGCAAGGTAGCCCAAGAACTGCCGCCATCACTATGATTACAGAATGAAACTGAACTTAAACTCGCAATACCATAAAAGCCTAAAGAAACGCAAATAGACGAACAAGGCCATTCCATGAGGAAAGAATTCACTGCTCTAAGACCCAACAGCTGCAAGCACAGAAAGGAGGAAGAGTTTAGTGCAAATCTCGTAAAACCCATACCACCTCGGAAATTACTAGAGAAGCCAGATAAAAAATTGAAAACACCCTTCTCTCGAAGCCTGAAAATATCCAGATTGCAGTGCAAGCACCAAAAGAAGACCAAGAGACAGCGCGCACACAAATATGCGACAGCAACCTTTGAAATCCCATATATAATCCTCTATTACAGTCACCATGTGCTATACAACAAACAAAACCAAGCTGGCGTGACAAGCAGAAAAAGACGGAATTGCGTAGCAAGTACACCAAAAGAAAAGGAACACTTGTATGTGATCTCATCAGTTGTATCATCGATGAACATAAGCATCTGACTTGAACTAAAAATGGCAGCAGAATACACAATGCACACTTGTGAAAAGATTTTAACTTAGTTGGGAACTTCCATATAACACCAGTTTTGATAAAAGCTTAAGAGAGATGAAAATATTCGATACCTATAGTCAAAGACCTTGGAACTTGCCCTTATATCCTTCATAACTGACACCATACCTAGGTATGGGACCGAACAAGATAACGAGAAATCAGGGTAAAAGAAGTTGATGCAAGGAAAAAACCACCAATATTAGCATCAAAATCAGCAAATTAGATGAAAGTCAAGATATGAAATCCAAGTAAATGATAGCTCCACATTGGGGTTTTGCCCTGCATGACACATTCGGTAGACATTCGGTAGAATCAAGGACGGACTCACTCACCATAAAGATCCAAGTCAGCATGGTAGCGTTATTGCTAGTTCTACTTGTATTCTGATTCAATAAAAAGAATTTGTGAGGTTCCAGGGGAGTGATAGCTCAGGCAGTGTGGCAAAACAGTGTACACCAGTGCACAAATAGAAGAAGAAGCTCATGTAACCTCTGTCCATTGTTGCAACTCCAAATAGAACTGGAACTTGATGCTAACATAGAAACACCATTTCCGATCATCAAGGGAAAAATAAACACAGTACTAATTGCATAGTGGAGTCTCACAACAAAAACCTCTGAACCAACCCAAAATCTAAAAGCATGCTTCATCCCCAAATATTGCACCAAGAATGGATCTCACCAGCTTTCAATTTCATCAGAGTCCCACATGTCGTAATACACAAGAAAACGGTCGAGGATGAGAACAAAAAAAATAATCTACACATGGAAGGAAAGCAAAGATAAGAACATTGAGAAACCAACGTAACTAGCAGAAGGTCACAAAAAGCAGCACGGAAAAGGGAAGTCTGCGACTGCGACTGCGACGGCTATTGGTGAAGGGTAATTGGTGAGATACCATGAATAGGGTAGAGGGTAACTAGGCACAATCCACCAGAAGGCCTTTCTTCTATAAACATTACCAAGACCTGATCAACCAATGCCAATGATGAAATACAAAGAACCAACTCTAATCAACAAAGAAGATAGAGGAAACAGATCTAATAACAAACTGGATCTCAGACCCAAAAAGAGAAAATTCAAAGAACTCCCAAAGCCTGACTGCCCGCTTGAATTGCTTGGGTCCAAGCTTAACTTCTCAACGGAAACTACGAGAGAATTGCAAATCAGGAACCTATATCCCAACAGCTGCAAGCACAGAGAGAAGGAACAGTTAAAAAGTTGGCGAAACCCATGCCACCTAGGAAAACACTAGATATTACACACGAGAGATCGAAAAACCCCCCTTTTTCAAAGCTTGACAATATCTGGATTGCAGTGCAAGCACTTGACACCAACCTCTGAAATTTCAAAATCTAATGCTCTATCACTGTCACCATGTGTTCTACACATCCATCCAACAAACAAAAGCAAGCTGGCATAATAAACAAAAGAAAACAGAAGCAGAAAAAAAGACATGCAGCAAGAACACCAAAAGCAGAGTAGCACTATATGGGGCTATATCAAAAGATCCAGATTTGAGTTTTAAGTACTTATCAGGTGTCCATAACCATAAGAGATCTCTCTCATAAGTTGGATAATCCAAGAACATAAGCATCTGGACTGAAAACAAAAAAGTGGCAGCAGAATAAACTATAAACACTTGTGAAAAGATTCATCTCAGTCAACAATTTCCGTATTACCAGCAGTGTTGACAGACAGAAGCGAATCACAATAATTAGGGAAGGAAACTGGAACGGAAGTCTCAATAATTAGAAGTCCGAACTACAGAAACCTCAACGCAAATCGGCAAGGAAACAAGCGGCTCCATGGAAAGCAGAATTCACTGCTCTAAGGCCCAATGGCTGCAAGCACAAATAGGAGGTAACATTTAAGTGAAAAGCTAGTGAAACCCATACCACTAGGAAATCAGAAGAGATGACAGAGACAAGATTGAAAAATTCCCTTTCTTGAAGCTTGACAATATCAAGATTGCAATGCAAGCACCAAAAAGACCAAGAAACCATGTGTAATGATGCATACTGGATCACCAACCTTTGAAACTTCAAATCCAATCCTTAATTACTGTCACCAAGTGGTCTACACATCCACCCAACAAACAAAAACAAGTTGGAGTGATAAACAAAAGAGAACAGTAGCAGAGAGGATATGTACGAGAAAACCAAAAGTAGAGGAGCACTTTATAGGGCTATCAAAAGATCCAGATTTGAGATGGAGTACTTATCAGGTGTCCAACCAGGTGTCCATAACTATAGGAGAGATCTCATCACTTGGATCATCGAAGAACATAAGCATCTGGAATGAAAAAAATGAAAATGGCAGCAGAATATGCTATACACACTTGTGAAAAGATTTATCTCAGTCAACAATTTCCCTATACAAGCAGTTTTGACAAAGATAAGGTTATCACTATAATTAGTATAGAAAACTGGATTGAAAATCTCAATACTCAATAGAAGCCTAAACTACCGAGACCTCAATGACCGGCAAGGAAAACAAGGCAGCTCCATGCAAGGAGGAATTCACTTCTCTAGGGCCCACTGGCTGCGAGCACAAACAGGAGGTAACAGTAAGCGAAAAGCTGGTGAAACCCATACCACTACGAAATCACAAGAGATGCCGGAGACAAGATTGGAAAACCCCCTTTCTCGAAGCCTGACAATATCAAGATTGAAATGCAAGCACCAAAAAGACCAAGAAACCGTGTGTAACATACTGGATCACCAACCTTTGAAATTCAATATCCAATCCTTAATTACTGTCACCATGTGGTCTACACATCCACCCAACAAACAGAAACAAGTTGGCATGATAAACAAAAGAAAACAATAGCAGAGAAGATATGTAGCGAGAAACCCAAAGGTAGATGAGCACTTTATGAGGCTATCAAAAGATCCAGATTTGAGATTGATACTTATCAGGTGTCCAACCAGGCATCCATAACCATAAGAGAGATCTCACAAGTTGGATAATTGAACATAAGCATCTGGACTGAAGATGCTAAAAATGGCAGCAGAATACACTACAAACACTTGTGAAAAGATTTATCTCAGGCGACAATTTCTGTATTACCAGCCATTTGGACAAAGAGAGAAGGGAATCACTATCATTAGGGAAGGAAACTGGAATGAATCTCAATAATTATAGAAGTCTGAACTACAGAAACCTCCATGCAAATCGGCAAGGAAACACGCGGCTCCATGGAAAGACGCATTCACTGCTCTAAGGCCCAATGGCTGCAAGCACAAATAGGAGGCAACATTTAAGTGAAAAACTGGTGAAACCCGAACCACTAGGAAATCAAAAGAGATACCAGAGACAAGATTGAAAAACCCCCTTTCTCTCGAAGCCTAACAATACCAAGATCGCATTGCAAGCACCAAAAGACCAAAAAACCATGCATAGCACATGCTGGATCACCAACCTTAGAAATTTCAAAATCCGATCGTTAATTACTGTCAGTCCGTCACCAAGTGGTCTACACATCCCCACAACAAACAAATACAAGTTGGCGAGATAAACAAAAGAAAACAGTAGCAGAGAAGATATGTAGCGAGAAAACCAAAAGTAAAGGAGCACTTTATGGGGCTATCAAAAGATCCAGAATTGAGATTGAGTACTTATCAGGTGTCCAACCAGGTGTCCATAACTATAAGAGAGATCTCATCAGTTGAATCATCGAAGAATATAAGCATCTAGAATAAAAAACTGAAAATGGCAGCAAAATATGCTACACACACTTGCGAAAAGATTTATCCTCACAGTCAGCAATTTCCCTATGCCAGGAGTTTTGACAAAGATAAGGGAATCACTATAATTAGGATAGAAAACTGGATTGAAAATCTCAATACTCATAGAAAAGCCTAAACTACAGAGACCTCTATGACCGGCAAGAAAAACAAGGCAGAGCTCCATGCAAGGAGGAATTCACTTCTCTGGGGCCCAATAGCTGCAAAAGCACAAACAGGAGGTAACAGTAAGCGAAAAGCTGGTGAAACCCATACCACTAGGAAATCACAAGAGGTGACGGAGACAAGATTGAAAAACCCCCTTTCTTGAAGCCTGACAATATCAAGATTGCAATGCAAGCACCAAGAGACTGTGTAACATACTGGATCACCAACCTTTGAAATTCAATATCCAAACCTTAATTATTGTCACCATGTGGTCAACACATCCACCCAACAAACAAAAACAAGTTGGCATGATAAACAAAATAAAACAGTAGCAGAGAAGATATGTAGCGAGAAAACCAAAGGTAGATGAGGACTTTATGGAGATGAAAAGATCCAGATTTGAGATTGAATACTTATCAGGTGTCCAACCAGGTGTCCATAACCATAAGAGAGATCTCACAAGTTGGATAATTGAAGAACATAAGCATCTGGACTGAAGATGAAAAAATGGTACCAAAATACACTACAAACACTTGTGAAAAGATTTATCTCATGTGACAATTTATGTATTAGTTGTAGTTTGGACAAAGAGAGGAGGAATCACTATCAGTAGGCAAGGAAACTGGACGAAGATCTCAATAATTATTGAAGTCTGAACTACAGAAACCTCAATGCAAATCGGCAAGGAAACACGCGGCTCCATGGAAAGACGCATTCACTGCTCTGAGGCCCCATGGCTGCAAGCACAAATAGGAGGTACATTTAGGTGAAAAACTGGTGAAACCCGTACCACTAGGAAATCAAAAGAGATGCCAGAGACGAGATTGAAAAAAATCCCTTTCTCGAAGCCTGACAATACCAATATTGCATTGCAAGCACCAAAAAGACCAAGAAACCATGCATAGCGCATGCTGGATCACCAACCTTTTAAATTTCAAAATCCAATCCTTAATTACTGTCACCATGTGGTCTACACATCCCCACAACAAAGAAATACAAGTTGGCGAGATAAACAAAAGAAAAAAGTAGCAGAGAAGACATGTAGCGAGAAAACCAAAAGTAGAGCACTTTATGGGGCTATCAAAAGATCCAGAATTGAGATTGAGTACTTATCAGGTGTCCAACCAGGTGTCCATAACTATAAGAGAGATCTGATCAGTTGGATCATCGAAGAACATAAGCATCTGGAATGAAAAAACTGAAGATGGCAGGCAAAATATGCTATACACACTTGCCAAAAGATTTATCCTCAGTCAACAATTTCCCTATACCAGCAGTTTTGACAAAGATAAGGGAATCACTATAATTAGGATAGAAAACTGGATTGAAAATCTCAAAACTCATAGAAGCCTAAACTACAGAGACCTCAATGACCGGCAAGGAAAACAAGGCAACTCCATGCAAGGAGGAATTCATTCTCTGGGGCCCAATGGCTGCAAAGCACAAACAGGAGGTAACAGTAAGCGAAAAGCTGGTGAAACCCATACCACTAGGAAATCACAAGAGATGATGGAGACAAGACAGAAAAACCCCCTTTCTCGAAGCCTGACAATATCAAGGTTGCAATGCAAGCACCAAAAAGACCAAGAGATCGTGTGTAACATACTGGATCACCAACCTTTGAAATTCAATATCCAAACCTTAATTACTGTCACCGTGTGGTCTACACATCCACCCAACAAACAAAAACAAGTTGGCATGATAAACAAAAGAACACAGTAGCAGAGAAAATACGTAGCAAGAAAACCAAAGGTAGATGGGCACTTTGTGGGGCTATCAAAAGATCCAGATTTGAGATTGAATACTTATCAGGTGTCCAACCAGGCGTCCATAACCATAAGAGAGATCTCACAAGTTGGATAATTGAAGAACATAAGCATCTGGACTGAAGATGAAAAAATGGGAGCAGAATACACTACAAACACTTGTGAAAAGATTTATCTCAGATTACAATTTCTGTATTACCAGCCGTTTGGACAAAGAGAGAAGGGAATCACTATCATTAGGAAGGAAACTGGAATGAAAATCTCAATAATTATATTAGTCTGAACTACAGAAACCTCAATGCAAATCGGCAAGGAAACACGCGGCTCCATGGAAAGACGCATTCACTGCTCTAAGGTCCAATGGCTGCAAGCACAAATAGGAGGTAACATTTAAGTGAAAAACTGGTGAAACCCGTACCACTAGGAAATCAAAAGAGATGCCAGAGACAAGATTGAAAAAACCCCCTTTCTCGAAGCCTGACAATACCAAGATTGCATTGCAAGCACCAAAAAGACCAAGAAACCATGCATAACGCATGCTGGATCACCAACCTTTGAAATTTCAAAATCAAAGCCTTAATTACGGTCACCATGTGGTCTACACATCCCCACAACAAACAAATACAAGTTGGCGTGATAAACAAAAGAAAACAGTAGCAGAGAAAATATGTAGCGAGAAAACCAAAAGTAGAGGAGCACTTTATGGGGCCATCAAAAGATCCAGAATTGAGATTGAGTACTTATCAGGTGTCCAACCAGGTGTCCATAACTATATGAGAGATCTTTTCAGTTGGATCATCGAAGAACATCATCTGGAATGAAAAAACTGAAAATGGCAGCAAAATATGCTATACACACTTGTGAAAAGATTTATCCTCAGTCAACAATTTCCCTATGCCAGCAGTTTTAACAAAAGATGAGGCAATCACTATAATTAGGATAGAAAACTGGATTGAAAATCTCAATACTCATAGAAACTACAGAGACCTCAATGACCAGCAAGGAAAGCAAGGCAGCTCCATGCAAAGAGGAATTCACTTCTCTAGGGCCCAATGGCTGCAAGCACAAACGGTGGTAACAGTAAGTGAAAAGCTGCTGAAACCCATACCACTAGGAAATCACAAGAGATGCCAGACACAAGATTGAAATTCATCCTTTCTCGAAGCCTGACAATATCAGGATTGCAATGCAAGCACCAAAAAGACCAAGAAACCGTGTGTAACGCGGGACCACCAACCTTTGAAATTTCAAAATCCAGCCCTTAATTCATGTCACTATGTGGTCTACACATCCATCCAACAAACAAAAACAAGTTGGCATGATAACCAAAAGAAAACAGAAGCTGAGAAGATGAGTAGGGAGACCACCAAAAGTGGAAGAGCACTTTATGAGGCTATCTAAAGATGCAGAATTGAGTACTTATCAGGTGTCCATAATGATAAGAGATCTCATCAGCCGCATCGAAGAACATAAGCATCTGGAATGAAAACTAAAAACGGCAGCAGAATACACTATACATTGCTTGTGGAAAGAATAATCTTAATTGAGAGCTTCCATATAACAGCAGTTTTTGACAAAGCTTAGAGACAAGAAAATCTCCAATACCTCTTAAGCGTAAGACCTGAGAACTTGCTCTGCATCTTCCCGAACTCAAACACCAAAGCAATACACCTTCAGAATCACTCGCCCCCTTAGATCAATCTTAATACTCATCCATTGAAAACTACACCACCTGGGATGAAATCCACCAGATGACCAAACCAAAATATGCATTGAAGAAGTCAAGGTAAAAGAAGTTGATGCGAGAATAACACAACATTAGCATCAATATTAGCTGCAAGACATCAAATCCAAACCAATAGCTCCATGCTGAAGTTGTGCCCTGCTTGTCTTGTGACGCATAGGAACAGATGACGGACTGATTCATCTGAAGATCCAAGTCAGCGGGGAGCAAAATTGCTTGAGGTTTCAGAGTAGCAATAGCTCAGATAGTATGGAAAGAAATGTACACTACCGTAACGTCTCAAAATAGGAGGGGGAGCTCATGTTGAATCAGAGACAGAATAATCCCTCTATCCGTAGTTTTTACAACTCCAAATCGAAAAGGAACCTGATCAAAAAAACTAAATAGCAAGATACTCCCCTATGGTCAATGGAAAAAATAAACGCAGTGCCAATTGTGCAGCAAAGACTAGCAAAGACTCACAACAAAAATATCAGAATTGCGCACAAAACCTGAAAGCATGCTTGATTCCCTCGAAATTCCATCTAGAGTGGATCTCACCGCCTTTCAATTTCTTAACATCGCAAATCAAAGGATTGCAAACAAAAAACCCACATATCATAATAACAAGAAAACAATCAAGGATGACAACATAAAAGATAAACTATACAAGGGACGAAAGCAACCTTATGAACATAACCAAGGTAACTGGCAGAGGTCACAACAAGAAGCACGAAAAAGAAAATTCACAAAATGTTGTTTATAAAGGGGAGATACCATGACTATGAGTAGGATGAAGGTACTAGCTACAATTCCATGAAAAGAAATCACCCACCGGAAAATCACCATAGAGAAGACACATCAAAACCACTGGCAGCCCTTAGAATCTCCTACAGTTGCTACCCAGACCTGATCAAACATTGGCAACATTGACAAACAAACAACCCTCTCTAATCAACAAAAAAGAAAAACAAAACAGAAATAATTGAAAATTGAATGCGCACACAAAAAAAGAAAAAGAAAACTCAGAAAGGACTCCCAAACCCTGCCCACTTGAATTGCTTGACCCGAGCTTAATTCTCAAAACAGTCAGATCATAGAATTGCAGATTAGAAACCTACATCGCACGGAAAATGCAGCAAATCGAAAACAAAATAATAAGAAACAGATAAAGCACCAAAGGAAAGCAACAATATGAAGGTAGAGAGTACTGGTAGTGACTGAGAGCTAAGAAATCAAAACCAATCTCAACGCTCCATGAAAAGAAGAATTCATTGCACTCTTAACACCCAACGGCTGCAAGCACAGAAAGAAGGGAATAGTTAAGTGCGAAACCCATACACCTAGGAAATCACCAGAGATGCCAGAGACATGATTGAAAAACCCCCTTTTCTTGAAGCCTCTGACAGTGATCTGTAAACAACATGCAGAGGAGCGCATTCTGGACACCAACCTTAGAAATTTCTAAATCTAATCCATCCAACAAAACAGGCGTGATAAGCAAAAGAAAATTGGAGCAGAGAAAACTAGTAGCGAGAACACCAAATATAGAGAAGCACTTTAGGCGGCAATCTAAAGATTGAGAATTGAGTACTTATCCGTAAGACACTTATTCCTTTAGAACCACTTGCACCATGTACCCTTGAAAAGTGACATCAAAACCTAGGAATGAAATCCACCGATGACTGGACCAAATAAGCATTGAAGAAGTCAGGGTAAAGGAAGTTGATGCGAGAATAAGACAACATTAGCATATAAGATGCAAGATATCAAATCCAAACCGATAGCTCCATATGGAAGTTGTGGCCTGCTTGTGAAACATAGCGCACCTGGAGCTCATGTCAAATCAGAGACAGAATGATCTCTCTGTCCATGAGTACTTATCCGTAAGACACTTATTCCTTTAGAACCACTTGCACCATGTACCCTTGAAAAGTGATATCAAAACCTAGGAATGAAATCCACCGATGACCGGACCAAATAAGCATTGAAGAAGTCAGGGTAAAGGAAGTTGAAGCGAGAATAAGACAACATTAGCATATAAGATGTAAGATATCAAATCCAAACCGATAGCTCCATATCGAAGTTGTGGCCTGCTTGTGAAACATAGGCGCACCTGGAGCTCATGTCAAATCAGAGACAGATTGATCTCTCTGTCCATCGTTACCAACAAGAACTGGAACCTGATCGCTAACATAGCACATCCTCTCCGATCATCAATGGAAAAAATAAACATAGAACAAATTGCATAGGGAAAATCTCACAACAAAAACCTGAATCGCCCAAACCTGAAATCATGCTCTGATTCCCCCAAAATTGCATCTAGATCTAGAGTCAGGAATCGACCAAACCTGAAATCATGCTCTAATTTCCCCAAAAATTGCATCTAGATCTAGAGTCAGGCTTTCAATTTCTCAATCAAAGGACTGCAATTCAGAAACCCACATACTTGATACAAGAAAACAAGAACGAAAACCACTAACCTACATCCCGCTGTACAGGGAAAACTTAGATGCGCAATTGAAACCAAAGCAAACTGGGATGGAGGAATTGGCTTCGGGGCGAGTCTATTTATAATGCTGTGAGGCTGGGATGGACGGCTGAGATTAAGCGATGAAGATAACGCGTTGCGGGATACCAGCGGATGAATTTGGACCAGGAAATTTCAAAGGCGGTGGATAAGTGGATTAGGTCGGCATCTTTTGAGTATTAAATATTTTTGCATTGTGGTCCACAATTAATATTTGTTTGTAAAGTCTTTTTACAGCCCAAAAAAAAAAAAAATATTAGCAACCAGAATAAAAATTTGTTTTCTATAAGACAACTAGATGATAGATGATGTATTATTGCTTTTTTTTTTTTCTTCTTGTTTTCTATCCTTTTAATATTTCTTGATCTATTGTTAATTACACATTTTTCACGCCTTTAGGAAAAGAAAAAAGAGAATAAGCTTTTGTGTAATAACGTATAGAACCACGATTACATGTATTATTATTTATCTTCTGCATTATGTGCATTTTAATTTTTCTAAAATCGTATTACTATATCAATCACTTTGAAACACTTGTCGAGTTTAATGCTTTATTATAGTTGATTAGATAATAATTCAAGTAGAATTTAAATTATTTCTACATAGGGCCTTTTTTATTTTAAAAAATTTTGCATCACTAATCCTTAAATTAAATTATTATTAAATAGTAATTACAAAGTCAGTTGAAAAATAAGTCGTCATGTAGTTTTCTCATTTTTTAAATTGAATGATATATAGTTTTATTCTTTTAGTATTTTCAGTGTGTTAATGTATTATTTTTTTCTT